ATTAAGTTGAGATGAACTGCAAACCCATGTTAAGAATTCGCTTTTGTTGGCTTCCATGAATAAGCTCGACCGTATATTTTTTGGATGCGGAAGAAGTAAAAAAGCATTTTTAGGTGGTGAAAAATGTTCCTGGTTAAATATTGAGATGATTATTTTGTGTGAGTTTTGGTTGTTGAATTTTTTTAATTATCAATCTTTGGAATTTTGAAAAGAAATTAGGGAATTTTCATGTTGAGATGATGAGAGCATCTAGCTTGAAAATTAAATTATGTTTGTTAATTGTTTTCATTTTATTACTTTTCTAATTGTAAATATTCTTTTTATACTTTGAAGAGAATTTAGTGAATGAACATGTTGGTACTAGCCATATATTTGTTTGATTTCCGTTTCCTGGAGTTCATAAAGAAAAACCCACAATTTGGCGATATTGATGGGTATCTTTTTTTAATTAAATATTTTGATCTGTTTGAATGGATGATACTTGAAAATCTAGCTACAAATGTTGGTATATTTCTATACAGTTGTGCAGTTTCTTTTCGGAATTTCCATGTTAGGTAATGTAAAAAGATAAAAAAATAAATTTGAGGTAATGTAAAAATGTATCAAATTTGATACTAATTAATCAACTTCCATTAATGAAATAAATTTTTCAAAATTTAAAGAGAAGAAAATGATAAAATTACAATTTTTCTGTTCATAAGGCTAAAAATGACAATTATACAGCAAAAAGCTATTTTACAGCTTATTTACCAAATACTACTCTGCTGCTTAAATCTATAATCTCACAGCTACACCAAACAGATTATCAGCTTATGCTCACAGCTATAAGTTATAAATATATTAAGTTATAATTTATAATTATTTTTTCACAACTCTACCGAACAGGCTTTTATTGAATTTTGAGAATAAAAAATGAGGTGGACATTCTGAGGTGGTGTAGCCGAAATTCTGCACAGTAATTGATTGAAAGGGTAAAATTGATGAGAAATATATTATTTTAATAATTTTTTAATTAAAATATGAGATAAAAAATTAATATATTTGAATGATTTTTTGATTTTTTTTTTATAAAAAAAAATATGTAAAAGTAGAGAAAAAATCTTTGATTTTTTAGTATAAATTGTTGATTTTTTAAAATTTTTAATAATTTTTTGACTTTTAAATTAAAACAGTAAGTTACCAAACGAGACCTAAGTCTATACGTAGAGAGACGAAATACAATAAGTAAAAACTACATGTATGCCTTTTATAAAAAAATTATATTTTATTTTGTATTTAATTTTTGTGTGAAAACATTACTGAAAGAGTGCTGCTATTAACATCTCATCAATTATTTTGGATCCTCAATTTTTTAATTTTCTTTTTTTATTACAATTATAACCTCAAATGAAATTATTAAAAAAGCCATTAATAATTTTAGGACATCCTATCTCACAAATAAGTCTACACATCTACTATATTATGAGTTAGGGTTTATGAAAGCACCTACTTCCATCTCCACCCATCCATCTTCCCAAATCTCACATTCAAAACCTACTCACCTTCAAAACCTTAAAAACTCTTTAACGACAATGTTCCAGCAATAACGGTGGTAATCGTTTACTTACACTTATCCGATAATGACAATAAAATCTCATAAGAGATTCATAGCATTGATGGTGTTCTTAACTCAGAGGAGATTGGTCTTATAATGGTAAGTTTCTTAAAAAAATAGCAAAAATAACAGAACATTTCTTATTTATTCGGGAATACAGGCCTGAACATTGGTCATTTGTTCGGGAACATAACAGAACATTTCTTATTTATTCGGGAATATATAACTGAAACTCGTGGAGATCACAGAACCCACAAAAGGAAATTTTTGAATCAATAATAAAAAAAAAAACCTTACATTTAGGATTTTAAGAGTTATAGAATTTATGAAATAGAGACTTTTTAGGGTGTGGGAGTGTGCATTCAATTAAATAGGTGATATGTTTTTATAAAGATAATTTTAATATTATTTAGAGATAAAAGAAATTTTAAGAGTTATAGAATTCATAACCTGTTTGGTACCATTTCGTTTTCAATTTTTCGTTTATATTTACAAAAACTTAAAAAATAGTCATAAAACTTGTTTAATATTTTTTTTGTTTATAAATGGTTGTCTTAATATGTAAATTTGAGAAAAAGAGCGTAAACTCAAAAAATGAGTTTACGTTGGTTTTTAAACAGAAATTTAAAATTTTGATTAACAATTTTTTTTTCCAATTAATGTTTTTTCAATTAATTTTTTTTCAAATATTTTTTTCAATTAATTTTCTTTTTCAAATATTTTTTTAAATAATTTTTTTTTTCAAATTAATTTTTTTTTTCAATTAATTTTTTTCCAATTACTTTTTTTCAATTAATTTTATTTTCCATTAATTTTTTTTAATAAATTTTTTTCAATTATAATGTGTATAATCCCATTGTCATAAATAATAAAAAAATAAATATAAATATTTTAATCCTAAACAAACATATTTTTTAGTTTATGTTTTTAAAATTTTTCAAATATTTTGTTCAAACTAAATACGTTTGTAGTTTTTGTTTTTCTAAAAATAAATAAAAATAAGTTTATAAAATTTTTATAAATATAAATTAAAAATGTAAATGTTATCAAACGCTAACTAAAAAAAATAAAAGTTCAAAATAATTGATGTGAGGTTAATAATCCCACTCCACGTTTGTTTGGCGGATTAAGTGGATGAAATTATTAACGAGTGAATAGTTAGTAAAGAGATTATTAGTGAGTAAATTATTAATGAGGGAATGAAGTAAAAGTATAATTATTTTAACGATGGTGTAAAAGATCATTAGGAAGGAAATAAAGCAAGAAATTTACAAACACACTATAAATAAATAAATAAATAAACGCCTTGGGCACTGTGTCGTGAGATTGGTTTTTCAATCCCACCTATATTGAAGGCATCCCTATCCCACCATTTTGTAGGACTAACAATCCCTTTGGAGCGGCAATCCTAGAGCCCATAAACCAAATGGGTCCACTTCAATCCTAAGTCAATCCCACCCATGTATCAGGATAACAAACATGACCTTACTGAAAATTGATGCAAAGATTATGACATGGCTGAATTGATGATGAGTATCCAATTCAAATCTAATTACGGCACCGGCCCTCACCTGCTTCTTGGGCCCAGCATCTTAAGGCATTGTTGAAATTATTGTCAACTACCTCAGTCTTCATTCTAATTGAAAGATACTTTGCAAAAGATAAATTTAAATCATTAAATTTATAATTAAAAATAAGGTTTTGCTAATGACTAATATTAAAGATTTCAAAAATTTTACTAAAAATTTTATTAAATATCTCACATAGGTGTAGAATCCACACAAAGTGAGTCCCATGTGAATCCCACATCCATGAGACATTTGGTAGAATTTTTAATAAAATTTTTAAAATCTCTATCATTTTTATTTGCTAACAAGAGCTAAACACAAGTAACAGGTAAAAAAATTTAAAAATAACAGACACATTTTATTAAATTTAATGCATTCTTACTGAAATTAATATAATTTTTAATAATTTTACATATTTTTTTAATACACTTTATACGCACTTCTTAATATTAAACAATGCATATATAACCCTTATTAGCATAGGGATATTTTTATTGAAAGTCAAATAAATACCTACAATAATTTATAGTATTTTTTTAATTTTTTAACTAAAATATATAATTGACAAACGAGAGCTAAATATGTAATGGAGGCACACAACACATGACCAATTGTGTTGGAAAGAAAATGTTCATGTTGATACCACTACAATATTGTCTCCTTTGTAATATACTTTTGTTTCTCTAGACACATGCACAATGACACCTCTCAATTATTACTAAATATGTAACGGAGGCACACAACATATGAGCAATTGTGTTGGAAAGAAAATGATGCTGTTGATACTTTTACAATATTGTCTCGTTTGTAGTCTACTTTTGTTTCTCTAGACATATGCACATTTGTGCATGTTCATGTTGACCAATCTCCTGTGAAAATTAGAAATAAGAAGATGAAAAATTTTAGATGAAACTGATTAATACTAGAATTGAAATAAATAATTGCAGTAAATAAAATATTAGAAACTTACTATGGCGAAGAATTTCAGAAAGTCGAAATGAACGAGTCTAGTATTTAACACTATCTTCTTAAGATAGAATTCGCTCTCGCACTAGTGCCTTCGAGTATTTATGGCGTCCGTCTCCCAAGATACAACAATCAAACTCTCACTGAAGTAGCAAAACCACGGTGAGCCTAGCGATCCAAACTGTGTTTATATCTCTTTCTGTCGTAATACAATAATTGAGGAAAAGAAAACAAGAAGCAAAGAAGAATGAAATTGATGTGCCTAGAATGGCAGAAGGAGGGACTATTTATAGAGTGGATGATGACTTTTCGGTGAGGGTTGCATCCCTTCGGAGACCAGTAACAATAGGGAAGAAGAAGCTAAACAGAGGCATTGTTTTGGGAGGATGAGGCTATAACGTTTAAAAAACGTTGGGATTGTTCTGAGAAATATTTTGAATTCAAATTTGAAATGAAAATTCAAAAGAACTTGGCCCAAAAAGATAAGACCTAGGCTGAACCATCTCCATGCACCGGAATGACTGCCAGGCGGGCGTGCGATGATTTTTTGATGTAAACCCACTTGTCCATAGTCTTGAGTCTAAGCTCATCCATTACTCCTCCCTTCACAAAACTTGGATGCTCTTTGAGGCCCAAACCCAAATGCCAACTTGGATGATCATCACTCGGACCCACCTAGAAAGACATGTAGGTCCTACTTTTATTTTGGCTTAAACTTAACCAAAAAACTATGAGGCAAAATCCAATTTTCCAACAGTTCGTGCACACGCATGTTACACATTTGGGGCTCTCTCTCTCTCTCTACATATATATATATATATATATAGCATCTTGCCTGTATTTGTGTAGAGAGAGAGAGAGAGAGAGAGAGACAAAATGCAGCCAGGGGCCAGTGGACGCTTATCTAACCTTGATCGAAATGCAGTTGAGAAAAACCGAAGATTGCAAACCAAAGATCTCAATTCCAAGCTTGCTTCTCTCATCCCTAACCAACCCTCAAAGGTAGTCTCTCTCTCTCTCTCTCTCTCTCTCTCTCTCTCATAAAGGAGAAACAAGTCAATATTTTTCAAAAGTAAACTATCATGCATGCATACAAACTGAACCACTCTTGGGAGATAATAATTATTGGAAGAAAAAAAAAAACCAATTCACAATCAAAATTTTTACACATAAAAAAAACATTTAGAGTGGTGTGACAGTAAAATATTTTGTAATTATGAGTCATAATAATGGGTGTTTTAACTTGAAACGAAAAGATTAAGAAAGACAATGCCATTCTTTTGTATAGAATTTATACGAAAATACTGTTTGCATAATATTACTCATTATTGGATTGTGTTAATAATTATATTTGAATAGTGTATAATGATGATATCTGGATTTATTATAAATATTAAATCTAATAATGACATCTGAATCTATTATACACAATGTTATTAGCTAATAGAAGCCTGCAAAGAAAACTTGATAAATGCTCCTATCACTTGTTAGGCCAAACAAATGCAATCCTCATTATTGTGATGTGTAATTTTTTATCACCAAGGATCCTCTAGAGTGAAATTTTCCTAAAATTTCCTAGAGTGCTATATTGTGTGATTCAGATTTACTGATAAATCACATCAGAAAAATTGATGTGACTTGCCAGTAAATCTCAACCACACAATGTAGCACTCTAGGAAATTTTAAGAAAAAATCACTCTAGAAAAACCTTGCTCATTTTTTATTAATTAATAATACTGTCGAGTAATAAATCTCACCAAACTACACTTGCACACTTGACCTGAAAAGTAGAGTCAACGGCCGAGCCTCAACCAACAAAGGGGACACAGCCATGCAAGTCCAAGCATAGTAACTAGAAATCCACCCTACCTTTGTTTCTTTACCTTAGACTTTGTTCTCAAGAAAGTCATCTTCATATTAAATTTTATTAAAAATATAATATAAATAATAAATTTATCTCTCTCTGCCTAATAGTTTAAGCTTTTAGATAATGAGTTGGTACTACCAATTTAATATATTCTTATATTATAATATCATAATTAATGGATGGACTATTTTTTCAGGAAATATTGCCTTTGCGTGATATGTTAGAGCAAGCCACCAACTATGTAGTGGAGCTGAAACAAAATGCGGAGGAGCTGAAGCGGAGGAAGGTGGAGCTGGAAGGCGATAATAAGGTTGGTTCTCAAGATGAGAGGTTACCGGTTTTGACGATACGAGACATGGATTCTATTTTGGAGGTGAATTTGATTACTGGGTTGAACAACAACTTGAAGTTACATGAAGTTTTGAGTGTTCTCAAGGAAGAAGGAGTTGAAGTTGAAAGTGCTAGTTACTCTTCTGTGGGAAACCAGACCTTCTACACAATTCATGGCAAGGTATCTATGTCTTGTTTTGCTTTGTATTTTGAAGTAGAGGACTGCTATATATATATATACCTATTTAGTTCCTCTATTGACGTGGCGCATCGGGTTGGTTGAGTTTTATATATATATATATTTTGTAACAAATGATAGGACCATAGTTGGTTTTTTTTTTTTTGTGGCAAATGATAAGACCATAGTTGATTATTAAGTTAGATTATAACAAAGGAGGCAATTATTTTATCTACTCAAATTTTGAATCTATCATCTTCTCACTGTCCAAGCTGTGGGTTGGTTGAGCCTTTTGCTCCACATGTCAATGCAAAAAGGATTGGGTGCCTCTAAATGCATCACATATTTTGTTGCAAGAGATTACAAGAGATAATCATATTATATAAGCCATATAACAGTATTATTAATGGATGGGGATTATATCAAACTTCAAAATTTGAATTTTATCATATATTGGGGTCTATGGGATTCGTTAAACTGTTCATTTTGTAAGATTTTTTATGTGTATTATTTTTTTAAAAAAAAATTAAGTCGATCCATAACATTTTTATTTTATTTTGTTTTAAAAAAAATAAATGAATGGCTTATTTTAAAAAATATACTTATTGTTAATTTTTTTAAACAAATACAATAAAATAAAATTGTTGTAATTATCAGATAGACCTATTTTTTTTCTATTAATGATATATAGGAAAAACTTTACAAAATAAATAGTTAGATCATCGAAACAGAATCCATGATAAGTCTCACAGACCCTAAGATTGAAAAAAGTCCAATCCTTATTAAATAGAAATGGTAATTTTCATTGCATTATGTTGGCAGTGGGTTCATCAACCATAATGCTAACAAAACGTTGGCTGATGATTTGCAGGTTTTATATTCAAGAATTGGGATAGAGACTTCAAGAGTGCATGAAAGATTGAAGAGACTTATTCATTGAATTATTTGTACATCTTCTACTTTTTGTTTCTCCAAGAATGAAAGATTTGTAGTATGTTCTATGGTTCAGAATTTCACCTCCTCTTGTTTCGATGTATATTAACGATAGCTCATCACATGAAGGAGGCCTTTCTTTTTAGGTAAAAGCTATAGCACGCAAGGTAAAGAATGTGTAGCTAATTAAATCATTGTCGACCAATAAGAAATTTGTGAATGAAATTGGATCTTAGATTTAATAAGAAATTTGTGAATGAAAAAGTAACATAGGTTCGATGGCCAGTTAAGCTCGCCAATAATTTATATAGTTTGAATTTGTTAAAATTGATGATCTCAATTTTACGGGTGAAGTTAGCGCATTGTGAGATTAATTTGTACTCATGTTAATGATCTGAATTGTTCATCGTAGATGACATGCTGAGAAGAATATATATGTAAAAAATTGAGTTGATCAAACATAAATAATCACATGATTAAATCAAAATATGTTATAACATATGTACGGTCCACTCTTAAAAACATGTACGCCCCACACAAAAAAATAATATAAAAGTATAATAATTGATATTAGATCAACTTAATTTTTTACATAAATAGTTTTTTTAGTTAATTGTATAAAATGAACACTTTAAATTACCTAAATAAGTCTAAGTTTATTCAATAATAGATTAATTTCGCCGTGAAGTTAAGATTTTCAGCTTGAACAAATTCAGGCTCTTATTTATAGGGTTTGTGATTCTAGTTTAGACTCATTGGATCAGGTTGTGAATTTTTTTCAAAAATCCGATTATAATATAGAACGGACTTTGGGATGAGTACTTTTAACTCAGAGCTGCTTACAAACTATAATATACAATATTTTTTTTATATGTAGTTTTGGCCCATTATAAATCTACCCAAACTCGGGCCATGTCCACAGCCATAGGTAAAGGACAGGAAAAAAGTGACAAAATTTGAACTATTGTTTTATTCATGTTTTATTTTATTTTGTTTTCACTTCAGTGTGACCCTCCATTAGACAAGTTACACAACTTGAGACAACCGTGTTGGACGACATATTTGAGTAGGTCCCCTTAGATAGTGTTTGGTTAGAGAACTTGATAAGATAAATAAATAAAAAAATGAAATGTAATCTCATTTCTTGTTTGATTATAATGGAAAATACAAAGAAAAAGAAAGTGAGGGAAATACAATCCCACTTTTTATTTTTTTTTAATTCACTTTAGGTGTATTTTTTATTTTTTTTTATTTTTTTCATTTCCCAACTCAACAAAACATAACCTAGAATTTCAATCCTATCAATTCTTTCTCATTTTCTTTTTATTCTCCTTTCTCTTTTCATTTTACGTATTAAATACTTCTTAATGATGTTTAAATTATGTATTAAGTAAAGGCTTTCAGTATTGGGCAAAACTAAAAAAAATAAAACAATAAAAATCTGTTATTTCTTTAGGTTTAAAAAAAAAAAAAAAGGTGCAAAAGGCTTCATATGCTCAAATTATAATTTAAAAGTTCAAAATCCGTTTTTTCTTGTATATTTGTACTTGATCAAACTTGTACTAGAATTTTCATAATAAAATTATCTTATTTATTTATCTGGGCTTCGAAATAATGAAGTATATTAAGCCTAAATTTCAACAATATCAACATTTCTTTTTCTTTAAAGTTAATTAGGAAATTTAAATAATTAAAACATTATCAATTGAAAAATATATTAAAAAAAAAAAAAAAAACTTCATTGTAAAACTTATTTAGCAATTGTGTATCTTGAAAATTAATGGGCCGGTGATGATAGTCTTTAATATAAGGAACTTTTCATGGGTTGGACTTGCGTGATAGTACTTTAGAGAACCCAATACGTGAAATTACCTATGGACACCATGTACTAATATCCGGACCAGTTTGTGTGTATCTAGATTAATGTTTAGAGAACTAATTTCACCATTTACTAGCCGGGGGGTCTAATTAAAAACAGAGCAGATACTATAAGAAAAGTGGGTTTATGAGACGGAACTATTTGCGACGGCACACTTGTCGTCTCAAAAAGTCACTTTTTGCGACGACAGAAAATGCCGTCTCAAAAAAGTAGAGTATTTGCGACGGCAGAAAATGCAGTCTCAAAAAACAGAGTATTTGCGACGGCACAATTTTCCGTCTCAACAAATGAGAGTATTTGCGACGGCAGAAAATACCGTCGCAAATACTGTCATTTTTTAGACGGCAAATTGTGCCGTCGCAAATACTCTGCTTTTTTTAGACGGCATTTTCTGCCGTAGCAAAAAGTGACTTTTGTGTTTTTTTTTTAGTAAATATTTTTAAAATTTTAAATATTTTTTTAAGATGCACCTTACTTAGATGTATCTAAAAAAAAAATTATGATTTTTTTTTTAAAAATTAATAAATACATAAAAATACAAAAAAAAATGTATTGAATTATTGTATTTTTGGTATTTAGTGAATTTTAAAAAGATTTTTTTACAATTTTTTTAATTTTTAGGTGTATCTATGTTAGGTGTGTCTAAAAATTATAAAAAATACTTTAAATATTAAAAAAATTCAGTAAAAACAATATAGCACGGAAACAAGAAAGTACAATTTTCTCAAAAGAGTTTTTGGAAAACTCTAACCTAGCATAGTGATTGTGGTTTTGAGACAGCTTCATATATATACAGTCACAAAATGGTTTGAATAAATTCAACGGTATTTTTCTATCGCAAAAAAAAATTAAAAAAACAATGTCATCTTACTCTTTTGATATAACAGTTCTCTTTTCATTCATTTTTTCATTTTCCTGTCTCTCTGTCTCTATCTCTCTCTCTCTTCTCTTTATCTCTTTCACTCATCACTCTTCTTTCTCTGTCTGTTTGTTTCTCTCTCTCATTTTCTCTCTGTGTCTCTCGTCTATCTCTCTTCTCTCTATCTCTCGCATCTGTTTTCTCTCTCTATCTCTCTCGCTCATCTCTCTTCTCTCTATCTCTCTCATTTCTTTTTTCTCTCTCTCTCTTATCTTTCTATCTCTCTCGCTCATTTCTCTTCTCTCTCTGTCTCTCTCTTTTTCTGTGTCTCTCTCTCGCTCATCTTTTTTCGCTCTATTTCTCTCTTTTTTTTGTCTATCTCTCGCTCATCTCTTGTTTCTCTCTTTTTTTCTATCTCTCCCTCTCTCTATCTCTTTTTCTGTCTATCTCCGTCTTTCACTGTCTCTCTCTCACTCATCACTCTTCTCTTTCTCTCTCTCGCTGTCTACTTGTCTATTTGTCTATCTCTCCCTCACTATGTTCGCCTTACTCACTTTCTTACTCTCATCTTCTCTATTTATCGAGCTCCTTCTCGATTTATCGATCCACTACAAACAATGCTGTCTTACTCTTTTGAACATTTCTCTTTTCACCCATTTTTTCATCTTCCTATCTCTCTGTCTCTCTTCTCTTTCTCTCTCTTACTCATCACTCTTCTCTGTTTGTCTCTCTCTCCCTTTCTCTATGTGTCTCTGTCTCTCTTCTCTCTCTCTCTCTCTCTCATCACTCTTATCTTTCTATCAATCTCTCTCTTTCTCTCTGTCTCTGTCTCTCTTCTCTTTCTCACTCTGACTCATCACTCTTCTCTATCTGTCTGTCTATCTCTCTTTTTTTCTCTATGTCTCTCGTCCATCTCTCTTCTCTCTATCTCTTTCATATATCTTCTCTCTCTGTCTCTCTTCTCTCTCTCTTATTTTTTTCTCTCTCACTCTATCGCTCATCTCTTTCTGTCTGTCTCTCTCTCTTATTTATCTATTTTCGCTCTTTTTTTTCTCTCTGTCTCTGTCTCTCTCTCTTTGTCTATATCTTTTCACCCATTTTTTCATCTTCTTCTCTCTCTTTTCTTTCTCTCTCTTATTCATCACTCTTCTCTCTCTGTCTGTCTATTTGACTCTCTCTCTCTCTGTGTCTCTCATTCAATTATCTCTTCTTTCATCTATCTTCTCTCTTTGTCTCTTTCGCTCATCTATCTTCTCTCTATCTCTCTCACCCATTACTACTGCCATAGTCACCACTTCACTACCACTACTACCATTATTGTGTAAATATTGATCCACTGTTTCTCTCTTTCTCTCTATGTGTCTGTCTGTCCGTTTGTCTCTCTCCTCCATTGTGTTCACCTTGCTCACTCTCTCCCTCATCTCTTCTTTATTTACTGAGTTATCCACTACAAGAAAAATTAATCTTATATATTAATATTATCTATAGCATTATTAATCCGGTAGTTCACAAATAAATACTCTTTATCCTATATCTCCAATCTAATACTACCATACTAATAATCTTCTCACTCAATCTCATCGTATTCTTAATCATCTCCATCTTATAAAGCTAAACAAAGGTAGCCTTGGGGGTGCTTTTGGAAGTGACTATTTTTGGGTGTTTTTTTGGGATTTGAGATAAAAACTCTAGGTGTTTTTTTTTTTAAAAGAAGAATTTCTTTATGTTGTTTTTGGTTGAATGGTTTGATAAGAGATATGGAAATGAAAAATGAAATACAATTTCACTCTTTGTTTGATTATAATGAAAAATACAAGAGAAAAGAAAGTGAGGGAAATGAAATTCTACTTTTTTATCTTTTAGATTTACTAGCCTTTTTTTGTTTTTCATTTTTCAACTCAATCAAATATAGCTAAGAATTCGAATCTATCAAAATTTTTTTCTCTTTTTCTTCCTATTTTTGTCTCATTTTTATTTTTTTTTAATATTAAATTCTCCAACCAAACGTAATATACAAGTGGAGTTGCATTCGTGGAGAGTAAATCGTAGATATCTAATAGCTCAACCAATCCTGAACAAAAGTTGGCAAAGTGATTGCTGTTTGAGGGGGTTGTTGTGTTCCATGTGAGTTCATTGAAATTTTTTTTTTGTAAGTCTATGTTGATCATATGAATTGTTCATATTGTAAGGTTTTTTAAGTTTATTATTTATGAAAAAAAAAAATTAAGTTAATCAGATATCTGTAATCTTATGATCAAGTCATAATTAT